ATTTTATACTTTACACTTTACTTTCTCAAATTTGTGGTAAAGTATAAAATGATCTAATTTACAAACATGTATCCGTACCTTATCCGAAGCCATTTTTCGTTTATTTTCCTAATATTTATTGCAATAAATAATATTTTCATAATGAAACGACGGACATATTGTACGCTTTCTCGATTTTGCCGCTTGCTGCTTGCTGTTCGTTCGGTTCAACTTCAACGAACTGCGGCAAAATGTATTTTGCGCCGGAAGTGCGTCATCTAGCTTACATAAAATCCTTAACCAATAGTAACGAATTGCTGCTGCAGCGTGCTGCGCATGAAAAAGCACCTTTACAACGCAATACTAAACAACTACCGCAGTAATATCACTTTTTAGTTAAATTGCTAAAGCACATCTAACAATTATTTGATGCTTCTATATAGCATCTTATTAGATCTTTAATAATATGTTGAAAGACATATATTAAAATTTTAACAATCTAAATGTTAAAGTAATGATGAATCTAAAATCTGTGAAAAATAAGATTGTGAAGAATATACACGAGTTGGCGTTTCGTCCCAGTTTCCGCCATCAGAGGTCTATAGATATTCGTAATGTTTCTCGCAAGTGCTGAAATACGCGCATATCTGTATATATATAGCGTTTTCGAATGGAGCGGGTTTGAATCCGATCCGGGTCGGATCAATGACGTCACGTGCACTGCTTCAGGTTACTAGGGTTATAATCCAAACCTGAACTGTGTTCGATTGCGAATAAGTGAGATACCCGTAAACATATTAAAAGAGAAAAATAGCTCTTACAAATAGAATTTATATAAATTATCCCTTAGTGAGTTTATTGAAACAATTTAATATTTTTATTTGACAAAATAAAATATTTAAAAGTTTATTCATATAAAAGTTGTCGATACTTATGCTACAAAGGAAGACTGAATTAGGTTAAGATAATTGAAATACAATTTTTTTATATTTACATGTAAATATATATTAATGGTAATTGTTTTTTACAGAAATATTCAACAATGTTAATAAAAAGGATTGTATATGATGGAAAAAATGTTATTAAAAACAATGATCTTATTTTATGCGAAATTATAAATGATACAGGTTAGGAAACTATTATGTGTATAATAATGTAATAACTTTATATTACAAATATAAAAATTTTACGAAATAGAAATCTTTTTTCTTTTCAGATGAAAGTGTGATGAAATTTATTCCTGAAATTCATTTACAATCAATAGGTTTAATGCCTTGTTCATCATCAATATGTAAGTGTATTATGTTTGATTAGTTTTATTATACATACACATGTACTGCATATATAAAAATATAAATATGTACGCATGCACGCCTACACATACACACACACATGCACGCGCGAGCGCCATGCTTGCAAGCACACATACATATTATTATAATACTAAAAGTAAATGTAATATTTTTCATACATCTTTATGTAAACTGTATTAAAATTCTTATATTAATTATTATTTTAGCTATTAAAAATATTTCGGATGAAATTGGTAAAGAAAAGGATAAAGATTGTAACGAAAGTAATTTCTTACATAAATGGGATGAAAAAAGTACCAAGTATTTATTGTATTTCATGTGTTGTTATACCTACTCTGTAATAGTTTTGACATTACTTTTGACATCGAGAAACTCATCTAAGTTTGAGAGCAGGCCGCCATGTTCTTTTTTGAGTCATTAACAAATTGATACTCTGAAATTACAAGCAATTATTTTTTATTGTACGGTCTAGTATAAATTTCAAATTAAATCTCAATAACCAACTTTTATATTTTGTGCACTAATTGTAAGAATAACATATTGCAGTTATTTTCTAAAAAACTGTAATATACAAATTGTAATCTGTTTTACTTATATGTATGTATGTTCAATTTGAATTTGCACCTTGAATAATCTATATAATATATTTCAAATGATATAAAATACTAAAAAATGATTATAAGTAACAAATGACTTATTGTTGCGACATGTCTCATCGTAAATTTTTTTTAAATCCATATTGTATAAATAATAACAAATTAATAAATAATCTACATGAGCACGTTAAAAATGTAAATAATTTGTGATAAATGCACGTATAATAGAGAATTGAGGTACTTATGTACCATATAATCTGAATATGTTCCTTATAACAAATAATCATCGCAATTTGTAATGCTGTTATACTTTTATTGATCTTCATGTTAATGAAATCGTCTTCATAACCCGACTGGACTCTATTCAGAGAAAACAGCTTTAGAAGAAGATCTCTGTGATTTACTAGTACAAAAAGAAGAGCCGGATTTGCGAATAATAATTTGGAAGCCGATTCTGAACGATTTCATAATCAGATGAAATAAATACAGACGCTAACACGGCTTTATTTGATTTATTATGTAAGTAATGAATGTGTGCGTATATTGATTAAATATTTTTACTGAAATAAATTTATACAGAAATATAAAAAAGAATATTTGTTTCAGTGAATGCTATATCAGAATGACCGGTGACCCAAATGACCGGTGTGCAAATTGTAAATGTCAAAAGTCAATTACAAAAGATTTCGTTTCTCATAAATACATTGTCAAGTCAGAACAACGTGGAAATTATCGGAACTTTAGTAGAAAGTGAGTTGCAGAGTATAGATAAAGCTATTGAGGAAACGGTTGCAAAAATACAGGTGCTTAATTTTAAAAGTATTTACACGATAAAAAAAATAAAAAAAGCTTTAATTTTCGATTTATTTCTAATAGGATATGTTGGATAAATCTCGCGCGGCAGATTCAGGTTTGAAATTAAAAGTAAACGAACAAATCTTGGATTCGTGTACAGATCTATAATGAAATGCATAAGAAAATTAGTGCAGAAGTCTCGCTTGCTGCAGAAGGAAATTGTGGAACAGGGAAGGGTATGATAAACTTATATTTTAACAATTATTTGAAAATACTAATTATATATCTGTGTGATATATTAAATAATAGATAAATAATTAATATAAAAAAATATTATAATTAGAAATCTTAATAATATTTTGTTTAAGGAACTGTTTCTGCTACTTTTTACAAACAAATTTTACAAACGTAATCATCAATGATTCGAGAGTCTTAGACTGAAATCACACGATGCGGAAAAGGACTGCGGAATAGAGAGTGCGTCATTGAAGCAACCAATCAGCGTTATTCCGCATTTTACTTTCTAGCACTGATTGGTTGCTTGAATGACGCACTCTCTATTCCGCAGTTCTATTCCGTACCGTGTGATTTCAGCCTTAAGCCCATGACAAGAAAAACGTAAGGCCTTAAACGTAATCAGTAAGCGAATTGACTAATCACAGGGCTGCGTTTAGAAATTAAGCCTAGGTAACTCTAGGCTATAGTTTACGTTACGTATATTATATCAAAAATGCACCCAAGAGTTATTGAGTGTCATTTCTGAACGCACCCCAGTTGAGAACATAAGCAGCCGCCGCTTACGGCTCCGACACACTGGACGTAGAAACGCTTGCCGCGCGGCAAAATGTAACGCGGTAGCCAATGAGCTTACAGCTCCTAACATGTTCATTGGCTACCGTGTCACATTTTGCCGCGCGGCAAGCATTTCCGCGTCCAGTGTGCTGGAGCCATTACGTTCTCAACTATGATTGGTCAATTCGTTTACTGATTACGTTTACGGCCTTACGTTTTTCTATGTGTCATGGGCTTTATCTCGACAGCAAAAGCAATTGCTATATGGATGCGAACTTTTTATTGTAAGTGCCAAATATTGAAATGTAATCTTGTAATCTTTTGAAATATAGTTATATATGTATATTATTACATATTATTACAGAGAAGCAGCAGATAAAGTTGTATTAGGTAATGGCAAATTTGAGCAATTGGTTGTTGTCTCACAAGGCATTGCGGCATCTACTGCGCAATAGAGACTCGAAATGGAGGCACAAGTGCGAATTCTATAGAATTGGGACAAGCTCTAGAAACGAGAGATTACATTTAGCTGCACTTCAACATTATCAACTTGACGGCATTATCACTGCCGACTAAGCATTTTCCCGCTTTTCCATTTCGCCTTCAGCGAATTAAGCGGGGAGCACAGACTTTTGCATAACGCATAAAGCATGTGCATAAGGAATTTTATTGGTCCATTTTCTTATGCATGAGTCAATGGACCAATCAAATTCTTTATGTATATGGTTTATGCGTTATGCAAAAGTCTGTGCTCCCCGCTTTATCGTTGGCGTCAAGGTACTTTTTCATGCGCAGCATGCTGCAGCAGCAATTCGTTACTATTGGTTAAGAATTTTATGTAAGCTAGATGACGCACTTCCGGCGCAAAATACATTTTGCCGCAGTTCGTTGAAGTTGAACCGAACGAACAGCAAGCAGCAAGCGGCAAAATCGAGAAAGCGTACAATATGTCCGTCGTTTTATTATGAAAATATTATTTATTGCAATAAATATTAGGAAAATAAACGAAGAATAACTTCGGATAAGGTACGAATACATGTTTGTAAATTAGATCATTTTATACTTTACCACAAATTTAAAAAAGTAAAGTGTAAAGTACAAAATGATCTAATTTACAAACATTCGTACCTTAAGCCATTCTTCGTTTATTTTCCTAATATTTATTTCAATAAATAATATTTTCATCATAATGAAACGACGGACATATTGTACGCTTTTTCGATTTTACCGCTTGTTGCTTAATTGTTGTTCGTTCGGTTCAACTTCAACGAACTGCGGCAAAATGTATTTTGCGCCGTAAGTGCATCATCTCACATAAAATTCTTAACCAATAGTAATGAATTGCTGCTGCAGCGTGCTGCGCATGAAAAAGCACCTGATTGGTGAAAAACCGGTGGCGAAGGTAAAATTTACCCCCATAACCCGTTTTTCACCAATCAGTGTTCGGTGTCAAAGCGCTGTTGTCCGTATGAGGATCCGGGCTAAAGGGAACAGAGAACAGAGAATAAGAATTTCAACCTATCAGAAATCATACTATGGAATACACACTGTTTATTCCACAGTACATGATTTCTGATAGGTTGAAATTCTTATTCTCTGTTCCCTGTTCCTTTTATTCTACGCAGCCCTAAATATATTTAATTATGTAAATATGTATTATTATTGTAAATAATTATTAAATATGTAAACATTAATAAATTTGAAATTAAAAAAATTTATATTTATTTTTTGTGAAAAAAATTTAAAAATTAATAATAATTTAAAACAACAATTAAAGAAAGAAAAACGCATATATGTAATAAAT